AGCCCACGAGAGTCGCTGCAAGCGATGTCGTGCTGTCAGTAAAGGCATTCGAGTCGGTCTTCTGCTGGCATAGCCCAAGGAAGACAAATTTTGCTGCACTGTTTTATCGGACACGTCCCTCATTGATTTCTGCGGTTATTTGACGCAGTGTTATTGACAACTCTATGCAGATGTCGCTGGTCTCGGTCGTTAAGTGCAGGTGATCGGCCACTGCGCTGTCCATGGTGGGATGTTATGCCTGAAATTAGAGACTCTCGGTACACTCTTGACACTGTGGATCTCAGAATGTTGAATTCCCTAACGATATCTGAAATGGAATGACCCATGCGTCTAGCTCCAACTACCATTCCGCGCTCAAAGTCTGTTAATTCTCGTCGTGCAGCCATAAATCACGTCAAAGCCTCTTCACATGAATAACTTGAACACAAATGAAAGCCCTGCCAAAGCACTTCGCATTTACATATTTTCTACGTGATACTACTGCCATCTGTATATTTGCATATTGCTATCCCATGACTTTTGTCACTTCAGTGTATATTCATCACATTAACCTAAACCAGATGCGAGGACATACAGGAAGTAAAGCTGCTGATACATTAGCACCCACTGCTTGGGGCATTTTTAAGAATTGCACATACTCGGTATCCATGTACACACTGACCTATTTTCACTGAAAAAAACATCCCAGAATTGCACAAAAATGGCATTGTGCACTCCTTGACTTTATCCATGTACACATCGACCTATTTTCATTTAAAAAGTCAAAGAAAATTGACAAAAATCTAATTCTTCTTACGTTTGTAAAAAAAGAAAAACAAAACAAATGAGTGGGCCATTCCGCACTTTACCCCAAAAAATAGGCGCAATTTCACTTCATTTGGCGACTGGACCGTAATTTCCAGTCTAGCCAAAATCCGATTGATATTCGTTTTCTTATTTCAAGACTTACAGTCAAGAATAAAATTTCTAAATACGTTTTAGTAAAATGGCAAAGAACATACAATAAGGTATTTACAGGAAGATTAACTCATGAATACTTCTCACAAGTGTCACTAACAGGAATAAAAACAAATTTTATGCTAGTACAATCAGCAACAAATCGTAGAAAGTTCTATCTTATTTCCAGCAATTCTTGAGACACCAGCACAGCTAGCAAATGTAAAGCACTGTACTTGGCAGTGTTCATTAATTTCAACCATTAGACCAAAGCATCTGCCAGGATTTGCAACAAAAATTCCAACAAAAGTTATATTCTGTAATATGAAGTGTGCAGTTCAACAGATTATGAAATATACTATTGAAAACGACGACATGATGTTTATGAGTAATTAATTCTTATTTATGTGAGTGGATTAGTTAGCATTTAAGAACAAGTAAAAATTATAACAAGTCTGGTCTACATTTGTACAGCAAGAAAAGGAAAATTATATCTAGTCTTCTTTCCATCTGCATAGCTTGGTATATATTTTCCTTCCCAAGCTGAGGAACAGTGACTAGGCAATACAGTCATATTATCCAAAAATGTATACTTGAAATTGGCATACTAGTGTAATTTCTCTAGAAATGATTTACTGTGTCTACAAATAAAAAAAGACATATATAAAAGAGATGTTTTGTCAATGTCTTCAAAAATAATTATGAAGATCTAATTTTCTCAAGGCTCTCACCTGAAGTTTCTATTAGGTCTAGTTTTGAGGAATATTATGGCTAATACTACATTAAATTTTAGATAATGATGTCGCTCTTCAATCATATGCCAATGATTTCGCCATCATTCCCGATGGTGACACTCGAACAGACTGGGAATGAAAAATTGATGAAAAAATTACAGACTACAGAAAAATGAAGTTATAAACACAAACTTGGTTTTAATAGCACTAAAGCAAAAATGATATAATTTCCTAAGGCTTCAAAACTGCTAAAAATCCACCAAGATTATCATGGAAGAAAGTATCTTGCCAAGAGCAACAAATAAGTTGCACTAATACCTCTTTTTCAAGTTTTAGCTATTGTGCTTTCACTAGATATTAGGGCAGAACAGAAATCAAAGTTATTCTGTCTCTTTCATTTTGAAGAGGACTGCATTATAGATAAATTAATACCAAGATCTATAGTAGAAGTCCCAAAATTGAGTAAACATCCAGTTCCAAGTTCTACTTATGCCCAAGCATTCTGCTTGATGTGTTCTGGCTGTCATCAGATGTTTGCTCTGTGGGCGCTGAAGAGAGAATGAGTTCAAAATGCGAGTCCAGAAGGGCAGGAGCTAATGGCGAGGGGCGTGACCAGTTGTCACGTAGGCTGCAAGCTGACTTACCATTGGTTACGAGTCTTCTAAGGAATACCTCACTAAAATTGCAATTAAATACAATACAAAACGTATATGAAAGTAGAAATAGTAAAAATAATTTCATAAATCAGTCTTCTAAATTATTTACATATGTATATTAGTCCAAGTCCGTCAGGAGATAAACACGAGGCATGGGAAGATGAGCCCCTAAGTCACATGGGTAGTCACCCACCCAAGTTAAGTTAAGGCTCAGATGCTTGCTGCTTGAGTTTGGTGTCACTGAAAGTAGATACTATCGTGATTATTATTTAATAGACACTAATTAAGTGGGAAAGTCTTGATTTTCCTTAATCAGGTAAGCAGCAGGTAGTTATGCCAAGACATTTTGCTTTATTAACAATTGGCACTGGTTCGTTAAACATTAACAGTTCCTTTTTAAGGGAGGGGGGCATTCTTCTTTCTTTTTCTGACAATGACGAGTTGCGATTTCTGTACATAAATCCGGACTTCCCAGCGTTTGCAACAGTTTTCCATGTAAGGGACGTTTTCCTGTAGTTTTTTGATTGCATGATTAACATTCGCTGACTTCACCGAACAGCAGTGTCCCCAGCATAGCATGCAAGTATTGCATTATTATTGCAGAGGATTTTGGGGAAATCTGTGACGTAGTATAAGTAGAGTATCGGACCTAAAACCGATCCCTGAGGAATACCACTTGGCGTGATTCTTTTAGTAGAGAGGAAGTTTCCAACGGAAACTTTAAAAATTCCTATTTCATATGAAAGAAAGCAGCACAAGAATGAGTTCTTTCAAAATCAAGATCCATCAATTTGCAAATTAGCCCCTCATGCCAAACGTGGTCAAAAGCTCTCGCCACATCTAGAACAAGCTCGATCCACACCAACCATATGGCATGTAAGTGTCCCCAAAGAAAAGCAAACAAACTTTTACACATGCATCAAAGATCTACGATAAAACTGAAGCTGCATTTATAGCTTATAAAGATAAATAAGTTATAATATGACAAAAAGTTAGATTAAATGGTGCCAGTACTATTTTACAAGCTGAAACAATAGCTATGAGGAAAGGCTTTTTACAGCTAAATGCCTTTTTTAAAAGTAGTAAGTCACAATATGCGAGCATTTACACAGACATCCAAAGTGTTTTACAGGCATTTTGCTATACGAAGAATCTTATTTATTCAATCTTTTCAAAAATTAATAAACATGAAAATGAATATTCATCCCATTATTACTAAGAATTTCATGTCATATTTTTTTTAACTCAAAAATTTAATTAAAAAAAAAAAAAAAAAGAATGTTTAGGACGATTATTTTTAAAGATCTGTTTTTTAGATATTTTATGTGCAAACTCATTTCAGTTAAATAGTTAAGCAGTAATCACAAACAACATTCTATTATATCATGACTGTATCTTTATAAAATAAGGTACTCACTCTTCTGTTATTGAGACCAGATTCAGAAATGCATGTATGTGTCTACATTTCTGAATCCGGCCCTGATAACAGAACAGTATCCAAAATATTCTGTACTATTAATAATTATATGAATGGTATTCTTTAAAACAAGGTAAATGTATTGGTACAAAACAGACAGTACAATTTACAAATAAAGACTTAGTTCTAAGAAAAGTATGATTTATTCACACCCACACTCTAAAACAATGCTACAGTAATAATAATACTGTAAATGCTATCATTATTTATTTGCTCAATTAGACAATTGTAGAAAAAATTAAATGCATTGCATTTAACAAAATTTTCAAAAATATAAAATTTATTTTCAAGATGCTTTCAGCGAATCATTCAGCATTTGTAAAATAAAAATCTCATTTTCCATTTAAACAAAATTCTGATAGTAATTTTTTTTAAGTAAAAGCCCTTTTAACTGACCTTTCTAAACATGAAGTACGTAAAAAGATAATATAGTAATGCGAAGGAATATAAAAAGTTTACAAATATCAAAAATGCAAAAAATTCATAAAACTTTTAAACTTAAATGCTCTAATATTTACATTCAACACTTTTATTTCCACCCATTGTTACAACAATTATGGTTCATTTTAGAAATACACTAAAATTACATAACTTAAAAATTAATTTTAAAATATTTTTTAAATTATATTTTTTATCAGAGAAAAGAAACATCTAGTTGCATCACACCAGTGAGTTTAAACATCAATCAGTTTAATGCAATTTAAGGCCTCTTCTAAAGATTGAAAAATAATAATCTTATTCCACTAAATTATAAACTTTCCACATTTGAGGAAGAATAATGAAAGAAAGTCGTTTGATTCTTTGTTTCCTAACCTATTACTGAATGTATAAAATTCATTATTTTAGAAAAATAACTTTCAACATAGATCACATTGAAAAGTGATAACAATGACAGTATTGATTAGATATAAATCAGTATCAGTCTATAAATTTTGTCACAATTCCTCATTAGTACTCAAAACAACAAGGGACTATAAATTCGTCAATAATGTTTCTGCTAGATCACATACTTAACACAACAGAACAAAAGTAAACAATGGGTTATTTAATAACTGAACATTTAACAGACATATTTCAATGATTACAAGCAGTTTCTTCATTTAACAAACAGTCACTAAAATGGAAAACACTGAACTGAAAATGTATTTTTAAAATACAATTTTAAAAGTAAATTTATTTATATAGAACACTACCCACCTCGCCATTTGTGACGTTAATACCCAAATATATATCACCAAAGGACCCACTTCCTATTTTACGCACTAATCGATACTTCACTCCCACAATAAACTCAGATCTTGATGAACTGCTTGCACTAGCCATATTGCAGTTATATAAATGTTACTAGAGTAATATGAGCAGTTTTCAAATCACAAAAATCAAATGTTTTAAGAACCGTAGGCAACTGACCTACGCATAGCACTACAACATTTTACGAAGTGACGTCAGGAAGATTTTGGGCAAACCAGTAGAATGAAGGTTCATGGGAAGAAACTGATAACGATGCCATATTGAAAAATATTTAAAATAAAATAGAATTTAAGAGGAGAAAATATCAATTAAAAAAGGGCTAAAATTTTATATGTTATAGATTCGTCTAGTATCTAAAAGTTCCAGATATAATTTGTAATAATTTCTTGCAAATGATTTTCAAAATCTGCTGCTGAATCTAAATTTATATTTTATGCACGAAATATGCTTCAAGCGAGAGTGTAAATTTTTAAGATAAAAATTGAATTTTAAATGGCATACTGCTAGTAGTTCAAATCATCAAAAGATTATTTTGATTATCAAAGATCACTAAATCAAAAGATTATTTTGTATTAAAATATGTAATACAAAATGTCTACTACAAATGTGGAACGTATGCAATTCAACAAATTAACAAATGTCTAACACAATAACATTTTGGCATAACTTTAAAAGTAAGTTTTGAGAAACATGAACGCAGCCCCTTGAAAATAGATAGCGCTCACCGTAGCACTGGACCGTAGCACTAATGTCATAATTGCCGGTTGCTGCTTTTGGCAGGATTTTCGCAGAAGTGACAATGGAATTTTTTGCCAAAGAGAATTGAAGCTAAAGACCCGGGTAATGATAACAACATCGCATTAGGACTTAAATAACACGACTTCTGGAACAGGGAATTTGTCGACCCTCAAAAAGTTCATGTGCCAGTCCACTGCAACGGCGACTGACATCCGTGTGGGGTCTACCAACTTAATGCAGTTACTTTCCATGACAGATATCTAGTTTCTCATAATCAGGACTACATACAAGTCTTAGAAGGTAAAAATCTTTTTTCTTCGCTAGATTGAACTCGTGCTTATCATCAGATTCCAGTCAGTCCACCTGATATACCAAAAACTGCTGCCATAACTTCTTTTGGATTGTTTGAATTTCCTGTTATGACTTTTGGGCTGTGTAAAAACGCGCAAACATTCCATAAATGAAGTCCTTCATGACTTAAGATTTTTGTGTGCCATATTTCAATGGTATTCTTGTAGCTTCAACAAACGAAAATGAGTACACTGAACACTTTCGTTTAGTTCTTGACCGATTTCAATCCTATGGTGTAGTTGTCAATCCATCAAAATAAGTTTTCGGAAAATTGCAAGTGCCATTCCTTGGTAATGAGGTTTCCTCGGAAGCTGTTCGCCCGCTTAATGATAGAGTTACTGTAATTCAAAATTTCCCAGAACCCAAAACTGTCCAGGAGTTCCGCCGTTTTCTGGCGATGTTGAACTTTTATCATCGCATCCTCCCTCATGCCGCTGTAAAGAAGGCGCCTTTGAATACATATTTGATCGGCAGCGAAAAGAAAGACACGCGGCCAGTTATTTGGTCTGCCGAATCTCGCACAGCCTTTATACATGGCACCACTGATGCGGGCTTCAAACCTAAGGTAATTGCAAAGTAACCTCCAAACGGAATAGTGCCCGATCAGTTGAAGAATCTACCATATTAGCTACCGCCACAGCTGAGACGTGCAAAGCAGATAAGCGTTCTTTATTGAAACTTAATCGAATTGCAAGATACATATATATTGTAGCTTCGTAATCATCTTTGCACCATGTGCTACATATACATTCGATAGAAAATACAAACACATGCATGATTATTTACAATGCAAATTATTGGTTCACTCAGATAAAATTGGCAATTCTGATCAAAATGTGAGGAGGACCTAGTGTCGGCAATAGCTCTTAGCTACCCTTCTAAGCATTTCTTCTCAAAATAATTTTCTGCAGCACAATCAAAATACAGCACGTCCCGATAGCGAACTTCTTAGTGCGTATGAGGCGGTTAAACATTTTCGTCACATGGTGGAGGGTCGAGTGTTTTATATCTATACCGACCACAAGGCCTCTGATTTTTGCCTTCCAACAAAAGCCTGACAGGGATCCCTCAGGCAAATGCGTCACCTCGATTAAATAGCGCAGTTTACAACTGATATTAGGCATGTTGAAGGCTCTCAAAATACGGTTGCTGATACTCTGTCCAGAATTGGAGAGGTTCAATTTCCTTCAAACACAGATTTCTCCGCCATTGCAGAGTGTCAGAAACAAGATTCAGAATTACAAAACTTTTGTCTGCCAAAGCTTCACATGGACTTAATTTATTACCCTATGCAGCTGGAACCAAATCTTTCACTGTACTGTGATGTGCAGGACAATGTAGTGAGGCCATATATTCCCCATAAATTTAGACATTGTAGATTTTGCAAACTTCGCAATTTATCCCATCCTGGCATCAGAGCCTCAATAATGTTAAGCCGCGTTTCCACTGCTGCGTATGAGTTGCGGTGCGTATGCGTTTCTCCAATCAGCGAGCGAATTCACTTTAATTGACATCTGCAATCCGGTCGGTGTGCGGTGACGGATGACGTACGGATGGAGTTCAACAATGTTCAACTTCTATCCGTATGTCTGCGGATGCGTTGGGGTCACGTGGTAAAAAAGGAGCAATCAGGTGTAGTCACCAAAAATTAATGGCGGCAGAAGTAGCGATGAACGCTTGCTTAGGGAAAGAATGTTTTGCTAAAAAATACTTATTTCTGAATTAGCATTATAGCGAGAAATCTGCGTGCTGAAAAAGACAGCAATCAGCTGAATTTAGTTAAAAAAAAAAAAAAAAAAAAAAAGATAACTGCAACTACAGTACTTGTTCGCAGATAAAATCAGGCGTTCAAGAAAATCAGCGGCAAAAATTATAATTCCAAGTCCATGAAATAGCAAAATTTGTCCTGACAATTATTTCCTAGTTCTGCATACTCATTTACCTTTAATGAAAATGAATGTCTGACTATAGCAAATTAGATATGATTAAAAGATTTGTTGTTTTTTTCTTTTGAAACAGGTAAAAACTAAAAACGTTAATTATAAATTAAATTTGATAGCCTTTTAAATATTCCACTGCATTAAAGAGTATGTTAAATTTGTATTTCCTTTTATAAATATATCTTTTTGGCTAACATATATTTGTAAGCACATGAAATATATTTTTCGCAGACCGTTTAACTTCAATAGGAATGCCACTTTAAAAGATAACGTCTTTTGTAAAAAATGTACTAGAAGCTGAATTTTTCAAACGACACTGAAACAAAACAGAAAAATTTAGTTTTAAGAATTGATTTACTTGATGGTGTATATAAGCAAAAATATGCATGCGACTACTGTGTGATGCTAGTTTAGTGGTAAAGCTGACGGGACTAATGTTTACTTTTGGGGGTCGGGAGTTCGAATCCCATACACGTTTTGCACCCTGTCTGCAACTTTCTCAGCTTTTTGCTCCCATTTGATCTATATTCGTGTTTTATAATTTATTTCTATTATTATATGAGTTAAATATATTGTTGTATTTATGCTCTTATTTATTTAAATTTCCCTCCGCAAAAAAGTTTGAAAATTATATAATACTAATTTAAAGTATACCCTGTACATATATATATTTGAATTTAACAAACATTCTCTATTTGTAAAAAGCAAATTTAAATGAAATTTAATGCAAATATATAAATGATTAATTATTACTACGAACTAATCTACAATATCATTTAAATTCTGAGAGCATATGTAAATCAAGTGCAAGTATCAAAATCCATGAATAAATATACTATAATTCCAAAAATTTAATAATCTTAAAAAATTATAAAAATGCATAAGTGAATAATAGGATAGATTTAATCCTAAAAAATTTATAAAAATGCATAAGTCAATAATAGGATAAATAAATTTTTGGAATTAGATATTTATTCATGGATTTTGATACTTGCACTTGATTTACATATGCTCTCAGAATTTAAATGATATTGTGTATTAGTTCGCAGCAATAATTAATCATTTATTGGTTTGCATTAAATTTCATTTAAATTTAATTAACTTTAAATTTGCTTTTTACGAAAAGAAAATGTTTGTTAAATTCAAATTTCATTCCTTGCCGCAATGGTGCAAAAGAATTATTTAAATTTAATTTATTTTGATACCCTGTAGATATATATATATATATTCGTTTCACTTTTATGTGAATGTATATACATGTGCTCAGACTTTGGGATGTTTACGACTCTAAACTTTCATTCCAATTAACATGAGACAGTATTAATGCCCTAAACATTTTTTTAACGAAAAATTACTATAATAATTGCTTTTAAGTTCAGTCCTCTCCAGCAGAGGCGCAGGAATTAATTAATTAAATATTTCCATTTTCTTTACCTAATGTGTGTATATATAAAGAGAAAAATCTTATTTTTATAACTTCTTCTATAAAAAGAGATATGAATTAAAAATGTTTAAATTAAAAATAATATTTTATGGATTATGCATAAAATATAACTGCCCATAGTGCATTTTAAAACAAACGAGATTTCTAATAAATTATCCAGCTATGACCCTGAAGTCAGCGGTATACAAGCATAGCAAATTTTGTGTAAATATTGTGAACCTTTCTTTACAGTTGCTCTGTATTTTTAAAGTACCAACTATTTTTTAATTCCTTTAACTTTTTTATTTTATTTATTTATTTGTTTATTTTTTCACTAACAGTACATTTTAGTTTTAATAATATATATATTATTTCATTAATATTTAAGGCTTCTAGAAACGCAATTTTTTTTTAAAAAATTTACTTCAGCTTCTATGGAATTAGTGATGTTCATAATATGCATTATAACCTTACTTACCTAAAAATTGTTAGCATACTTTACTTTCGCAGTTCATAAGCAGAAATAAAAATTTCCAATAACATGGAATTTAGTAAACAAAACTTTTCTGCGTTTTACGTCAGGATCCATATCAAATCCCAAACAAACAATACTCGCTTAAGCGGGAAAAATTCAGATGTTCAGCGTCGTAACTCGCGAACTGCTTGTTTGGCGCCAAAATTCGGAAGAATACTTTGTAACCCTGACTACGATGAGTTTGAAAACTGCATACTATATTAAAAGAGAAA